AATGCGAGAATACCAGTAGTTGTTCAACGGTACTGTCAGTTTGCTCGCCGTCATGGACTGAGTTTCACAATTCCCCGTAACGACCGTGATGAACATCCTGCATTAGTTTCATTGACATGACAGTTTTGGTAGATTTTTTAATCATCTTTGGTTGTGTCTGACTTCCGGTGTCCTGGTGGTTCCTATATGACCTGCTGCTGGTGTGTTAAAGATTGGCCGGGCGATACTCAAACAATCCGCCCACATACTTCTTGTAGATGACTTAATGTGGAAAATAACTTTTATACGAGCGCAACACCCAGCCGCACCTGCAGCCCCGCCACAGGGTGACGGGTTAGACTATACCCATCCATCTATGCTTCTTTCTAGAGCAGGCACTGCACACAACAGCCACCAAAATAAAGCTTTGTCTTTCACAGAACTTGATGACTCTTTGTACACAAAAAATAGATTAGAATACTGAGACTTTTCTAATTAAGCTTTGCTTATACAATATGATAACTTAACACAGAGTACATGATAAAAGAAAAACACTTCACCTGAACGGGAGATGACAAGCATGCCGATAATCTAAAAAACGCGAGGAAAGTGTGAAGTGAGACTTCCCCCAAAATATCAGCACCCACAGTAACAGTGTTAAGGCCACACCAGCAGCGGACATAATTCTGTGGGGGGGGGGGCGGGGGTCAACAGGGCAGACCATGTCCCCTGCACTTTTTACAAGAAAAGGGCTTGTTTCCTGAGTCCCGCTGGCACGTTTTAACGCGTCCAAACTGGACCAAACACAAATTGGTACCTTACGGCCAACGGAAGGCCCGGGTTTAACCCGAGAAGCGGAAGGACGAGATCTAGCGACCGCCCACTCCCCGTTATTAATAGTCCCCAATTGTACACCGGAATTTTGGTCTGCAGTTCACCCAGAAGTTCCGCATACCGCACGCAGCATCAACGGACAGAGCATCTCGAGCAAGCCGACACTAGATGCGACGATCATAACACATCCAAGAGATTGATTTAAAGAATCCCCGCCTAAACCACCACCACTTCCATCCCGTCATGGCGGCGACAATAATCCAGCAGTTCATCCCCACTACACAATAAATCAGTCCAAGCTACAAACTACATACCGTTAAAACACTGGATCCATTTTCGACGTTCATCCCTCTGACCTCCAACATCGAACATACTGTGAGACAGAGGAAGTTAAAAGTTCAATTTTCATTGTGAAAGCAGAGTAAAGACTTTAAATACTGAAACAGTTAAAAGGATTGTGGATCAAAACAGTATGAATAAAAAACAGATGACATTTGTCAACCAGGGAATTCAAGTTTCTTATTTACTCTTTGAATGTTTTGCTAGCAGAGAATGTGGTTCTTCTTTAAAGTCTGAGGATTAATGTTCTGTATTGTGGAAATGTGAGGGGAAAATTCTGCTTTTTTTTGTGGTAACTCACTGGAAATTGACTTTGTCTATTTGAAATCTTGTCTCGAAGATCCCGGATGTCAGTACTCTGCATCTCAACAGGTCCTGAAAAATACAAAAGGAACAGGAGGATGTTAGAAAGTTAAAGAAAATATGTAGAAAGGGAAAAGCATACAGACACAGAAGATATATGTAAGGGTCATGACAGTGTGACTGTGAGCCAGCATGTAAAACACCAGGACCCTGATACTGAAGCAACTAAATGAAATTCAGCCATCACTAATTTTAATATTTACACATTTGTGCTATTTGTGGTGCAATGTGTGTATTAAAAAAGTCTATGTTTGGTATTTTTACTTTATAGATTAATTAAATCAATTATACACATTTCTAACGTTTCATATTCTGTCAGTCAACTTAACAATTAATTGACTAATTGTTTTAGCGCTACAGATGACAGACGCAGGCAGAGTGCTTATATATAAGACAATACCAAGTGTTTGTGTGTAATCTCACCTGATCAGTGGGTGTGTAGTCATTCTGCCTGACCACCTCAATCCTGTCTAAGAAGCTGCAGAAAGGACAGAAACATACAGTTGGTTAGATCTTAATAACATAATATAATGACAATATAATACCACAATATTATATATTCATAATAACACAGTAAAAACATGTCAACATTTCCACTTTCCAATTTCAGTAATCATCAAAATAAATGCAACTTAGCAATGTATTAACCAGCTGTGAATCCAATCACGCAGACCATTTCTCAAATCCAACCACTAACTAATCACACACACACACACACAGCGGTACATCCCAGTGCATTAGTGGGAGCAGGAGAAAGATGGAGGACATTGTTCCCTGAACGGCCACCAGGGGGCGTGTGTTTTAATTCATACTGAGATCAGAGGCAGCCAGTCTGAGTCACCAGCAGCCGTTTGCTCTGTCAGGCCAGAGAAGGCTCGTCAATGGAGCTGCTGTAGTAGTACTTGCACAAGAGGAGAGGTGTGTGTGTGT